GGATGGATGCATGCATGCTTGCATGTGTCTCTGAACAATAAGGTCCCTGGTTCCCACATGTGTGCCTGGGTGTGCCTGAGTGTGTGTGTCTGTGTATGCAGACATCTTGGCATGGAAAGAGCTGGGGGATGGTGGGCTCCAGGCTGCAGAAGGGAATCTGCCAGACGAGCCTTGCTGCAGCCCCCGGCCCCGGGAGCCTGTTTCCAGCCTGCGGAAGCTGTGAGCCCGTGAACTCATCTTATATTAATAGCTGCTGTCTCTTCACTTATTGCAGGGAGAGACAGTCATGGCCCCTGCAGGGTGCAGCACTCAGGGCTGCCCCACCTCCCACAAGGGCCAGGGCTCAGCCCCACAAGAAGAGCGCCCTGCCCTGGCTCCTCCAGTTCAGGGAGCCCACTGCCCAGCATCCTCTCTCCTGGTTTGTATGGTGGTAGATGTAGGCATGGTTGTAGGAAAGCTAGCCAAGACAGAGTGGCTGAGGTTTACTACCCCTCCTCAGACACACAAGCTGAGCAGTGCTGGGCTGAGAGACAGGAGGCTCAGTATGAAGGGGGAGATTCAGCCCTGCTCTCAAGGGCTCTTAGAGGCCCTCTGCCTAAGGGGAGGCTCAGCTTGCTGAGATCCTGGTCTGAGGAGAATCATGACCTTGTCTTCAGGAGCCTCCAGCTCTGAGGAGGAGACAAACAAATCTTCTCTGATGAGCCTTCAATTTGAAGGGACATGTCCTTTCTTTCATGGACCCTCAGTTGGAGACTGGATATAGTACTGCCTTCAGGAGCCCAGATCTGACTTTTACCTTTCTGCTCAGGGGAGGAGGAGGGTTTGTTGTATAAACCTTCTTCTAAGCCCAGCAACACTCAGTAAGGGGTTCCCTGGGGAAGAATTTGCTGGGCTATAGGGATTGACCTGTCTGCAAAAGATTAAAAAAAAAAACCAGAAAGGAAGACCCTGCTAGCCCAGCACACACACAAGCTCTGAACACCTCAGAGCACTGTACACTGCTCAGACAGCAAGAACCTCGGCTGAAGTCCAACACAGACTCCTAGACACAGGATGCCAGTCAGCAGGCTCCTGTGTGGGCCCCAGAACAGGAAGCTGGAATGAGGTCGAAAAGGGTCCAGCCGCACCTTGTTAGATAGGAAGCTACCTGGGTTGGGGCTCCCTAAGGATACTCAGGAGTAGGCAAGGAAGGAGCCGCTTCCCTACCGTGCCTCTTCAGAGTAAGTAATAACCCAAGCTTCACCCTAGTATGGGCACAGGCCTAACTGTTCCACATTCCTGGCCAGGTTCATTATTTGACCTGTTCCCAAAACTCACTCCCCAAACTAGTGGGGAAAAAAAAAAAAAAAACAGATTTGGAGGCAGATATGACCTGGGTTCAAATCCCAGCTCAACTGACAGTAAATGTGACTGGCCTGTGAGGCCTTCCTTTTCTTTTTTAGATTGTTTGAGAAGGAGCTTCATATAACTCAGGCTGGACTTGGTGGTCCCCTCTGACCTCCACCTTCCAGGTCCTGCTATTACAGGTGTAATATATCACACCATGTAGTGTGATGATGGCGGAATCAAGCACCCGGTAAGAAAGCTGGCAGAGGCAGTATGGCTTACTACCCCTCGCCAGACATACGCAGGCATGAACACACATGCTGGGGAGCGAACCTAGGGCTTCTTTGCATATGCTGGGCAAGCACTCTACCAACTGGAATGTGTCCCAGCCTCCTGGAAGGTCTTTCTTTCGTCCGCTTTCATCTTACAATTATTCATATATTACTCTTTTCCTATTTTATTTTTAGTTGAGGATGTGGTCATTAACAATGCGGTTTTTTTTTTAGTAACTGTTACTTTATATTTTATATTATTTTTATTTGTATGTATGTGTATCTGTGTGTGGGTATGTGCATGTATGAGTGTAGGTGTCTGTGGAGATCAGAAGAGGGTACTGGATCCTAGGGAGCTCAAGTTACAGGCAATTGAGAGCTGCCCATTGTAGGTCCTGAGAAACAAACTTGGTCCCTTTTGTTTGTTGGTTGGTCTTTTGAAACAGTGCTGGGATTAAAGGTGTGCACTCCCATGCCCAGGTAATTCAGTTCCTTTGTAAGAGCAGCACGTGTTCTCAAATGCTCAAGCCATCCCTTCAGCTATAATTGTAATTACTGAAAACCTTTTGTTATTGCTATTTCCCCTACTAGACATTACGCTAGCTACAAGAGCATCAGAGACTAGTGATGGCCCATTGCTCTTAGAGTTTCTGAAGCCCAGGGAAGCCTTGGAATTGCAGTGCTCCTACCCCAGTAACAGGGATTACATAGCACTTTGGGTTTACAGGTATGCGCCACCATGCTCAATTACTCTTTGGGGGGGGGGTGGATTGTTTTGTTTTTTTTCAAGATAGGTTTTCTCTGTGTTACTGCTCTGGCTGCCATGGAACTTAACCCTGTAGACCAGACTGGCCTTGAAACTCACAGAGATCCTCCTGCCTCTGCCTCCTGAGTGCTGGGATTAAAGGTGTGCACTACCACTGACAGCTTGGGGCCTGTTTTTTCGTTTTTTGTTTTTTGATTTTTTATCTGTGTGATGGAGAAACAGAGTGGGTCAGAAATGCTCTGGTGGCTCCTTCTGGCTTTGGCCAACGGTGCAGCCTGCCGGGCTGAACTAGTCAGAGCTTCCTTATTTATGTATTTAGATTTTTGAATTAGGGCCTTATGTAGCTGGCTTCAAACTGGTTATGAGCCGAGGGTGGCATTAACTCCCGACTTGCCTGCCCTCCCCCCACCCCAGGTGTTGGGATTACAGACATGTATTGCCACACTTGGCTGCTGTTTGTTTTTCCATTTTATGTGAATGGGTGCTTTGTCTGCATGTCTATCTGGGCCTGGTGCCTGCGGACGCCGGTAGAGGGAGCCATGTTCCCTGCAACTGGAGTCACAGATGGTTGTGAGCCCCTGTGTGGGTGTTGGGAATTGAACCCAGGCCCTCTGTGGAGGCCACTAATGCTCTTAGCCACTGAGCAGTCTCTCCAGCCTTCCCTTTATTTCTGTGTGTTGTTAGGGATTAAATCCAGAGCCTTGACTACACTCTACCTCTGAGCTGTAGCTCCAGCTCTTAGTGTTTTGAGACAGGGCCTCACTATACAACTCTAGCTGGTATTGAACTCAGTGTGTAGCTGAGGCTAGCCTAGTATTCATGATCCTCTGGCCTGCATCTCCAACACAGGAATTATAGGTATGTGCCACACCAACCCAGAGCTTCCCCTTAAGCTGCCTCTGCCCTTGTGGTGAGCACAGGGCCTTTTTCCCTTCCTAAGCTCCAAGTTCAAGTCTCCAGTTGACACACTGTTACATAGAAAAGCTTTACCAGCTCCACAATGACCAGACTCCATGTAACCAGACACCATGTGATCACCTCCCAAATGTGGACCGCTGGCCCCTAAGGATATAAGGCAAGGTCCAGAAGGTTCTAAGCACCATGGTCAGTTAAAAAAAAGGGGGGGTGGAATGAGAAGTCATTGCCCAGGAGACTGACACAGATTTGGGAAACAGATGTTCTAGGTTTGAGTATTGGTCTTGTGTTTCCTAGCTATGTGACCTCAGCCTCAGTTTTCTCATGGAGGTCAAATGGAGACAATATTATCTGTGCTGGGATGTTGGTTAGGCAAATGCTCTTATCACAACACCTACCCAAAGGAAACACTGTTGGAAGTAAGCTATTACTATGAAGAGAACTTGCATGCTAGAAACAGGTTCTGCATGCCTGAGCCCTGAACTAGTTACTGTGGACAGACTGTCGGTACCCTCAATCTATGAGGAGTCTAATAGCCTGGTCCCTGTCCCTGGGTACTGAGGTTCTTGCAAGTTGGTATCCAGGGTCTGGCCCCAGGGGCACTGACATCTTGCAGTGTCTGCCACACTCTACTGTGGGTCTCCAGTTTCCCAGACTTCTTGGGGAGTCACACTCTCCTGGCTCAACGCCATGCCATGCATATGCACAAACACAAGTACTTATCCAAAAATCGTTTTTTATTGAGTTAGGGACTGGACAGGAATGCACTGGGGACCATACCCCTATTGGCAGAGGGGTGGGGTATTGGCTCTTGTCCCGCCTCCTCTAGGGCACCTCAGGGTAAGGAAGGCCTGGCCCCCAGGCCATGGCTGTGGCGCTGAAAGCCAGGCTGGAGAAAGATGGGGGTGCGTTTTATAGTCCCGACTACTTGCCGGTTGCAGTTCCCCCAAATGGCCACCAGAGGGAAGCCGGGCCTCAGCGCAGAGGAATTCTCGGTTACTCGGGTGATGGCTTCTTAAAAAAATAAAAAAAACCAGAGGCTGGTGTGTTCCTCCTGCAAACCCGAGCAATGTGGGCTGGGGAGGAGGCTCTGGTTTCTATGATCTCTCTGATAAAAAATAAGCAAAAATAACAAAATACATTGTTTTTCTTTCTCCATCCCCACTCTGGGAACTGAGGTCAGAAACGGGGACAAGGGGCCTGGGGACTCCCTGGTATAGACTAGATTTCAAAGTGTGGGTCTCTTTTTTTCCCCTTATCACCCATAGGTAAATTTATAAATAAATACATAATAAATAAATAAATATATTTTCTTTGTATGTTCACATATAGAGTGATAAATCTTTCATGTAGGCAACTGAGTGATTAACCTCTCTGACTCTGGACTTCCAAAATTCAAAACTAAAGTGGCATGGTCAAGGTCAAGTTTCAGGGAAGGAAGATCAAGGACTTGGAATGATGCTGTAAAATTCCCAGAATTCTGGAATTGCAAACCACTTGGAACCATCATCTGGAACATTCTAGAACCATGCAGCCAGCTGAGCCAGCCAGGCCCCTGAAGGAGTCTTGAACAAATGAGATCCTAAAACACCCAATGTCTTAGAACTCCAGAACCAGCTGGGTCTTAAGGGTGTGGAGCTGGGGGATTGGAACTAAGCCCTGGGGGGCCTAACATTCTGAAATTCTGTAGTTGTCAAAGCCACCCAACCACCAGGATGAAACTAGACATCGCTAGGGGACCGGGACCGGAATGGAATCTTGGAAGTAGAGCAGCAGCAGCAGACGGCCCACAGCACCTTCTGCACGTCTTGGTTGCGGAAGGCGTAGATGACTGGGTTGATCATGGAGTTGTAGGTGGCAGGAAGCAGGGTGAGATAGGTATAGAGATATGGAGAGTTGGCATCTCCCAGGAGGCAGTAGACAGTGAAGGGCAACCAGCAGGCAGCAAAGGCGCCAAGCACCACAGCCAGTGTGGCGATGCCCTTGCGGGTGGCCACGTAGTGAGAGGCAGGCAGCAGGTGTCGCTGGAGGGCAATCTGCTGGGCATGGCGGCAGACAATGCGGCAGATCTGGGCATAGAGCTGCAGCATGATGCCAAACACCATGAAGAAGGCGATGGCCAGGACCACCAGATGGTTCTTGGAGAGTGGATATACCACACCACAGGTGGTCAGGCCATCCCGGCAGTTCCAGGCCAGCACAGGAACCAGCCCCAGGCCCAGAGCACCCACCCACACCAAGGCCAGCATCACATAGGTCCGAGTTACTGTTGTCTCCGAGTAATAGGTGAGGGCGTTGTACAGGGAAAGGTAGCGGTCAACAGTGATGGCCAGCAGGCTGCCAATGCTGGCAGTAAAGGCCATTGCTAGCACGCCAACCAGCACCAGGCTCATCTCCTGTGATCCAATGCAGAAGACCGCTGCAAAGTATAGGACCAGGCCCAGGCCTGCCAGCAGGTCTGCTATGGCCAAGCTACCCACCAGTAGGAACATGGGGGCGCGGAAGGCGGGAGTGCCCACGATGATGGCCACCACCAGTGCATTCTCGCAGGACACCAGGGTGCCTGAGATGCACAGCACCACATCCCAGGCCTTGGGAGAGGGCAGCAGAGTAGCTGGGCCTGTGGGTTCCTCTGCTGGGTCTACACCGCTCACATTGACACTGCCTGAGCCAGCTGAGAGCCAGGCCATGGAGCTGCCTGTACCCCACATCATAGTACCTGCAGAAGAAAGGCCCTATGAGACAACTGGCAGGTCTGCATCCTCACAGGAGGCCCTTGGAGGAGAGATACCTCTCAGGATAACAGGTAGGAAACCAATGCCCTGTCACTCAATTCATGTCCTGAGGCTCTGGCCCCATGCTTTGTCCTTTGATGGCTCCAGGCTTCTGAACAGGGGCCCCTTTTCCTACCCATCTCTTCCCTGTGTCTCTTCACCCTCCTTTCCATTCCTATTAGTCTTAGAGACCTCTTTGCCACGCGTGGTCAGAGAAGTGGATTAAGCGTTCCATAAGTGAGTGGGGAACCACAAGACTCAAGGTGAGCCTTAAAAAAGCTCATGACTAGGGGAGGGAAACATGTCAAGAACAAGGGCAGTCAGCTCCCTCCCATCAGGGACGATGATGATGACTAGGTTCCTGAAGCTCCCAGACAGACCCTTCACGATTCGCAGCTCTGCCAGCCTCAGGCTCCGCCCCCAGGCAAAGCCGGTTCAGCTTTTTGCCAGCCCCCAATCGACATTTCTAGGGTAACACCTGGGAACTCATTTCTCCTTCACTCTCTTCTAGACTTCTGTCTCCGGACAGACCCCCTTTCTCCACCTAACCCCTGGGTCTCCGTGGCAGACACCCCCTGGTGGAAGCCTGAATTCCTGAGTCAGACCCCGCTTTCTGCTGGGACACCTGGATCTTGGGCCTGACTCCGCCTCCTGCCTTGGATAGCTGAATCCCTAAATAAGACACCTCCCGCTGCTCGGACGCCCAGGTGCCCGCCCCAGATGCCTCCTGCTCTTTCAGTCTCAGATAACTGCTGGTTCCTCCAGGGCCTCGGGTCCCTCAGGAATGCTCGCCCTTTGCCGGGTCACCCAATCACACCGCTCGAGAGCATCCCAACACTTGGGGAGCCGCACACTAATGCAGAATCTGCTAGTCCAGAATCCCAGTTACGACCCCCGGACCCTGAGCAGCTGCAAGCAGACTTCCGCCGGCCCAGCGCCCCTGCACCCTCTTGTCCTCCCAGACTCTGGGTACCCGTGGCAGGGCCCACTACTCACCGCTCAGGACCGGGCACGGCCGGGCCGCGGGGAGCCTCCACTCAGGTCCTGGCAGAGCAAGGTGTACGCGGACCCCAAGAAGCCCCCGCGGCCGCGGGAGACGCGGCGTGAGTCACCCCGCCCCGCCCCCGGCCACCGGTTTGGTGACGTCAGAAGCCCGGTCGGCCAATGGACGCGGCGCGCTGGAGCGCAGCGCGCGATGCGCGGCATAGTAATGAGGCCTTGCGCCGCCTGCTCCCCCATTCATAAAAAGTGACCGTGGCCGCGGCCCCGCCCCCTCTGGAGTCGGCCCGCGCTGTCCTTGACGCGGCGCCCTCTGCGGGTTGGGGGCTTTGGGGGCGCTAGTAGGAGAACCTCAGAAAAGACTCAGGGAGGTCACAGAGGATGTAGGCAGAGGACAAGGAACCGGGATAGTCTGCGGGGGTGACGAGCATCCTCGGGTGTTAGAAATGAGCTGACACAAGACAGGTGATGAGGCTGAATGGGTGTCCCCGGTGAGGACGACAGGCTTTGCCTCTGATAGGGCCCTGGGGTGACAGTGACGGAGCACGAGGGAGTAGGGAGGTGGGTGGCTGTGACGATATGAGCGTGGTGACAGGATCTTGGAGGACGGTGGCTGTGGGACGTTGACGGTGCGGGGAGGGATGGGACTCCTAGGGCAGCCAGAACAGTGTCAGAGTGACTGCAGCATGATGAAGCTCAAGGACCCCAGGGTCTCGGTGGTGGGGACAAGGCTTTGGAGATGAGTATTCAGGTGAGGGAACTTCAGGTCACTGTGACCCTATCAGGTGATAAAGGACTGAGGCGACAAAGCTAAATGAGGACTGTGGGGTCCCGGAACGAAGATCAAACGACTTGTGAGTGGGCCCCAGGGTGAGGGAGCAGGGTAGGAGGTCTGACTGGACAGTGACCCAGCAGGTAAGTTGCTGCCAGGACAGGTCCCGTGATGCTGGGGTTGGGATTAGGAGCTGGGTGATGTCACTTATGTCGGCCCAATAGCGTCCTCGCAGCACAGTAGGGTGCGCATGGCAAGATTTCAAAACCTGAATTATTTATTCAAGGATCTGGAAAGCCAGCGCGGGGAGGTTGAGGTGGGGGGTCACTTCCCCGAAGCAGCAGGAGATAGGGAGCCGGGAAGAACTTGGAAACAGAAGGACCGTGCAGCTCCGTGTCCAGAGCAGCTCTCAGAGCGCCCAGCTTAGGCACCCCAGGGGTTGGGCAGGGGGGAAACTTTTCCCAGCCCTGCCTGCCCGATCTCTAAGGAAATGCCCCATCAGTGACCCTATGACCCCAGTGACCAGTCCTGCCCCCTCTCCCTTTGATCCTCTTTGGAACATTCAAGACTGTAGGAGGGTGTTAGGAGTCAGGTTAGTGTATGAGGCTGAGGAAGGGAAGGCCAAGAGGCAGGGAATAACATCACCCCCTCACAGAACCAGGGCCGAAGAGAAAGGCACATTTTGGGTCGAGTATGGTGAGTTCAGCTGGTAGGAGTAGACAGACCAGCTTTGAGCCCTAAACCCTCCATTTCCAAGCTGTGTGACCGAGGAGTGAGGAGTGAGTCTCTCAGGCGCTCTGAGCCTGTATTTTTTCACTTCTAAAATAGACATTAGTGCCTACTGGGGACTGTTAGGAAGCCTTGGGCCCATTATCAGCACGGGCTATGTACTGGCTGCCACTGGTATATTTGGCCAGTGGGGGACACAAGGGAAGCACAGGTGGGCAATAAGAAAATGAAAAGTAGCTAGATGGTGGTGGCACGCGCCTTTGATCCCAGCACTGGGGAGGCAGAGGCAGACAGATCTCTGTGACTTTGACACCAGCCTGATCTACAGAGCTACACAGAGAAGCCCTGTCTCAAAAAAAAAAAAAAAAAAAAAAAAAAAGGAAAAAGAAAGGAAAGAAAATGAAAAGTGTTAAAAATTGAATTAATTATTTTTTAAAGAAGGACAATGAAGAGTGGCGACAGGAGGCTCTGCTTTGGGGACAGCCAGACCAGACTCTCCTGTTGCAGGCTCTTTGCATGACCTTTCCTTCATAAACCCTTTGCTTTTCCCAGAATGCAACTTTTAGCCACTTCTTCCCAAACAGGCTTCCTGACCCCTGTCACAGATGGCCAGCTAATCCTGTCCCTGTCCCTCCCCTCCTCTGTTTGTTAGGCTTTAGGATGTGCAGGACTCTTAAAACAAAATACTCACATCCTGGCATGGTGGTGCACACCTTTAATCCCAGCACTCGAGAGGCAGAGGCAGATGATCTCTGTAAGTTCAAGGCCAGCCTGGTCTACAGATCAAGTTCTAGGATAGCCAAGGCTACACAGAGGAACTCCGTCTTGAAAAACCAAAACCAAAAACAACCCCCCACTCATATATAAACTAATAAAATATCTAAACAAATTACAAAGAAACAAAGAGAGACACACAGGGAGAGTGAGTGACGGTGGCCCTGGTGAGGTGTGCCCAGAGAGAAGAGAGCACCCCAAGACTTGGATATCCACTTCTTCCCATTTTGAGCCAAGTCCCCAAAGAGCTCTGGTGTCAAAAGGAGGCAGGAGCAAGATGCTAGGGCAGCATTGGGATGAAATGGCATATGAGAGACACCTGCCCGTCTGAATGGCTTTTCAAAGTTCAGTGATGCTCTGGTGAGAACTAGTTTCCAGGTATGGGGTCACACACCCATACTCTCCCATGTGAGAGGCAAAGGAGCAGGAGTTTGAGGTCATCTGAGCTACAAAGCCAGCCTGGACCACATGAGACTCTACACCAAACAAACAAACAAAAACAGACTCTGTCCTATCACTGCAGGTCAAGTCTTCAAAGATGCTCCTGTTGTTCTCCAACACTGGTCTATGACTCCTCATTCTGTCCATCTGTCCCTACAGCTGTTTTCTTCCTTTTTTTTAAATATTTTTTTTAACTTTTAACTTACTTTTATTTCATGTGCATTGGTATTTTGCTTGCATGTATGTCGGTGTGTGGCTGTCAGATCCTCTGGAACTAGAGTTCCACATGACAGCTCATGAGCTGAGCTGTCATATGGGTGCTGGGAATTGATCCCAGGTCCTCTGGAAAAGCAGCCAGTATGCTTAATCACTGAACCATCTCTCTAGTCCAGTATTTTCTCCTCCTCCTCTTCTTCTTTAAAGATTTATTTACTATGAATACAGTATTCTGTCTGCATGTTTGCCCGACCACCAGAAGAGGACACCAGCTCTCATTACAGATAGTTATGAGCCATCATGTGGTTGCTGAGAATTGAACTCAGGACATTCTGGAAGAGCAGTCAGTGCTCTTAACCTCTGAGCCATCTCTCCAGCCCTCCTCCTCCCCTCCTCCTCCTTCTCTCCTCCTCCTTCTTTTTAAGACTTTTACTGCTGGGTGATGGTGGCAAACACCTTTAATCCCAGCACTTGGGAGGCAGAGTCAGGGTAATCTCTGAGTTCGAGGCCAGCCTGGTCTATGGAACAGCCAGGGCTACACAGAGAAAACTTGTCTCAAAAAGATTGTTGTTTTTATTTATGTGTATGGGTGTTTGTAGGTTAAGTGTATGCATAGGTATTCAAAGAGACCAGAAGATAGTATCAAATCCTTTGGGAGCTAGAGTCAGGTGGTTGTGAGCTGCCCAGAGTGGGCATTGGGTCCTGTAGAAGAGCAGCTATTTCTCCAGTGCTTGTCTTCCCATCCCCATCCTATCCCCAACCCCAGCTGTTTTCTTGAGATCTTTGGTTCATACAAGCCATATACTGCAATCTGTGTTTGATCCACCATGTGGTTGCTTGGAATTGAACTCAGGACCTCTGGAAGAGCATTCAGGGATCTTAACCACTGAGCCATCTCTCCAGCCCCTGCAATCTGTGTTTGAATTAATCTTTCTTTATAGAATAATCATGACCTTCACCCAAGCAAGCTGTGTCCCCCACAGTGTCCCAAAAATCCCACCACCAAAATCAGTTCTGAATCTACATATGAAGAAGACATCCTGTGTGATCTTGAACATTTGGGCTAGTTTTCTACAAATTTCTGTCGTAGTGACAGTTATCCCAGGGTGAAGACATGAAGGAGCATTTGTTTCTGCTGAAGAAGGCAGATGGTCATGAACTTCATTTGCATGTCACTGAGTACTTTGTGGTGAAAGTTGCCTTTCTGGCTGCCAGGGAGGGAAAGTGTGAGGGCATTTCTAACTTGAGAACACTTGGAGATTCAAAGATTGAGTGATGCAATTATTTTCACATGAGTGTGCTCTCAGGCACCAACGTGTGTGTGAATGCGTGTGAGTGGAGAGAGAGCAGTGTATGTGTGTGTGTGTGTGTGTGTGTGTGTGTGTGTGTGTCTCATCCTGTAGGGCAGACTGGCCTCAGACTCGTGGGAATCCTCTTCAGCTGGAGTTGTAGCTGAGCCACCATACCTGGCTAAGGTCACTCTTAAGTGCTCTCCCCCCCCCCCAGACCCTGTCTCCAGGGGAAGGGCAGCCCTTCTTGCTCCTGTCACCCTATTTATTCCCCACCACCAACTCATGTGCTCATCTTTCCCACCAACAACCCTACAAAGTTAAAGGACAGAGCCCACATTTCATAGAAGCCAAGAAACTCGCCCAAAATCACAATGTGAGTGGTAGGACTGGGCTGTGTAGCAGTGACCAATCCCAGGATGCTTCCCACTCACCCTCTCCCAAAAAGGGGCTGAGTGAAGTCATCTCACTGACAAACCTGCAGTTCCTCAAATGGCCACCAGATGGCTATGAGTTTTCCTGTCCAGGTGAAACTTTTGATTTTATTTTTTTTGCAGCTACAGCTTACTTGGGACTTGAACTTTTAATCCTCCTCCCGTTTTGGTATTACAGGCAGGTGCCACCACATTGTTTTATGTGGTGCAGGGGACCAAACACAGGCTTCTTGCATGCTAAACAAGCACTCCACCATGTGAGCTTACATATGCAGACCCCAGATAAAACTTTACTTCTATCTTCTCCACCAGCCTGGGAACCTTTGGCCTAAATCCAAAGAGAGGTACATGTGTGTCTGCCCGTGCACAGAGAGTCAGTCTCCATTCTGACTACATCCAAAATCCAGAGACTGGACAGTTAGCACACAATACACACACACACACACACAGAGGGAGAGAGAGAGAAAGAGAGAGAGAGAGAGAGAGGTAGTCTGGTGCCCTCTGAGGCATTAAGAGGGCATCAGATCCTCTGGAACTGGAGCTATTGAAGGTTGTGAGCTGTAGGTGTTAGGAATTGAACCCAGGTCCTTTGACAAAGCAACACATGCACTTAACGTCTGAACCATCTCTTCAGCCCTCATTCAAACAATTTCCATTAACAGTGTTTTGGTCTGGGGTGGGGTGGGGTGGGGTGGGGGACAGAGCAATACTCAGGCCACACTCCTGCATTTTCCACCTTCATCTATATTGAGTATCTGCTATTTGCCAGGCACAGAGAAAATGATGCAGTGAACAAAGACCATTGCCTTATTCCAAGAATTTCTACCTTAACAGAAAGAAACAGACAGTGTACAAAGAGAGGCCAAATATAATATCAAGTACATGAGGATTCCTTGAGGGTCTCACAGCACAGTGGGCTGGACACACGTGCACACAAACCACAAACAATGGGAGAGAAGGGCTAATAAGCATCTACTTCATCCTGTGCACAGGGGTTCACTCTGTCATTGTGGAGCATGTAGACCAGGAGACAAATGGGCAGTTAATTATGCATTGGATACACGCTCCAAAGGAAAGCAGGTGCTGGCACGTAGAATAATTAGAACAGGTCTTTTCAGTAGAGAGGTTAGGAAATGAGTCACTTGAAGAGGGAACAGATGAGGTTGACTTTTCAGGACAGAGTACAGCAAGTGGCCAGTCCCCCAGGAGGGGAAGAGTATGAGGATCAGGAAGGAGGCTGGACCAACAAAGGAGCCAACTGAGAGCAGGGCTGAGCCCAGAAGGCATCAGGAGAGACTCCAGTGGATGAGGGAGAGCCATGAGCTGCTGGAGGGCACTGGTGGGCTTGAGGGGGCCGTAGGACTTGGGTGGTTCTTTTCCGAGGACCATTCTCAGTGGCAGCTTACTTAGCTAGACAGATGGAACCAAGGGTGGAGAGTTGGGATAAAGGCAAGAATGCCTTGCAATCAAGGAAGTGAGACCTGATGGGGAAAGCTTGAGACAAGCAAGATACATGGGGTCAGGAGTTCAAGGGTTCCCTATGGAGGACAAGTCATGCTGACAAGCTGCGAACTGAAAGAGATGCAGGCATCTGTGTGAGGGCCAGCTCAGGGAGAGACCATAGGGCAGGGCCCAGGAGACAAGGAGAGATGGCTCGCTGGTTTAGAGCTGTGGTTGTCCTTCCTGAGGAGGACCCAGGTTTGATCCCAGACCCACATGGAAGCACACAACCTTTTATTAAATCTTATTGTTGTTTTGTTTTGAGCAGAGTCTCTTTTTTATGTAGCTCTGGCTGTCCTGGAACTCACTTTATAGACCAGGCTGGCCTCGAACTCAGAGACCCACCTGCCCCTGTCTTCCGAATGCTGGGATTAAAGGCTTGCACTACAACCACCTGGCCTGGTGAACCTTTTTTTTAGCACCAGTTCCAGAGGATCCAATACCCTCTTCTGCCCTCTGAGGGACCAGGCACACACATGGCATACAGACATAAATGCAGATTTAACACTTGTGCTCCTGAAACAAAATTAATTATTTTTCAATTAAAAAAGAGGGTCACCGATTGCTCAAGCTGCCTTTCAGTTACAGGTGTGGTAGAGCTGGAAAGCCAGGATTGGTGTGAAGGTGGAGATTAGAGATTTGTTGGCTATTGTTGTTGTGAGCCACCATGTGGTGCTGGGAATCAAAGCCAGGTCCTCTGGAAGAACAGTCCATGCTCTTAATTATGCCACCATCTCTCCAGCACCTCCCACCCCTTGTGTGAGTGTTGTTCTGTTTTGAGACAGGGTCTCTTTATGTCACCCGGGTTGTCCTGGAACTTTTTATATAGTCATCAGGCTGTTCCTAGACAGAGATCTGACTACCTCTGCCTCCAGAGTGCTGGGATTAAAGGCAAGTGACACTATGCAGGGTTAACCCCACCCTTTTTAAGGCAGGGGTCTTTAGCTAGGCTGGCTTCTAACTCCCTTTGTAGCAAAGGATGGATTTGACCTTCTGATCCTTCTGTTGTCACAACTCACGTGCTGGGATTACACTCATGGACTACCGATCTGGTTTACACAGTGCTGGGGATCCAGCCTAGGGCTTCATACACACAGGCCAAGCATTCTACAAAATGAGCCACATTCCTAGCCCTACTTGCTGGCTTTTAAGGGGAGCCTGACCACAGAAGAACAACCAAGATGATCCCAGGAGAGGACAGAGTCAGGCCCTGGGCTAAGACAGCCACAACTGATTAAGGAGGAGTTGGGGAGGAAGAGGTGCTCTCTTATAAGGAACTGAGAGATGGCTACAGAGAAGTGTTGCAGAACAGGAGACAGCCATGAGGAAGGTCCCCAAAGGCCCAGTGATCTAGTAATAGCATTACCTATGACCCAGGAGGCAGAACACAACATAGTGACCGAGAATGGACAGCCTAAGGTAAGGGGTAGCTGAGACCCAACCCATCCTTCAAAAGGCCAGAGTGTGCATGCTACGTGGTCTGGTCTGAATCAAGTCCAGATTTTGCCACTGTGGGTTCAGACAGGTCACTCACCTATTCCAAACCTCACCTGTGAAGCAGGGTTAGCAAAAGTTTCTAGACAGTGGCATACACCGTTAATCCAAGCCCTGGTCTACAATAGTGAGTTCCAGGACAGCCAGGGAGGGCTACACAGCGATTCCCTAAAAACTCAACCAGAACACAGTTGTATGTTGACAACCCTGGACTCCTTCTCACAGAGATCCACCTGCCTCTGCCTCTCAAGTGCTGGGATTAAGGACCACAACAGTTGAGCATCTCTACGCCTTTCTTTCGTTGTTGTTTTTCGAGACAGGGTTTCTCTATAGTATTGGAGCCTATCCTGGAACTCACTCTCTAGGCCGTGCTGGCTTCAAATCACCAGTCTTCTCTGTCTGGGTCTTCTCTGGCTCTGTCTACACAGAGCCAAGCTCTCCCTAGATCCTCCTACCGGCCACACCCACCAGCCACGCCCCGGTGTGACCACGCCCCCGTTGCCCAGGTCTTTCTCTGGCAAGCTCGGAGAGGAGTCAAGAAAGGACGCGCCACGCCAGCTGTCCGCCGCCCCCCATTCCCGGCCCCGCGCCCATGGCCGCACCCGGACCCCGCGCCTTGCGTGCTGCTCTCTGCGGCGGTTGTTGTTGCCTCCTCCTGTGTGCCCAGCTGGTTATAGCTGGTAACGCTGAGCAGAATCTGATTAGGGGGCAAGGCGGGGCAGGTGGAGCATGTACTTCGCCTTAGTTTCCTGCTCCTGAACGTATAGGCTTGGAGGAGGGAACTTTTTCGACGTCTGCAGGGCTCCAGGAGTGGGTTAAGAACATAGCGCATATTTATAGGTTCTAGGAGACTTAGGTGGATGTTTGGAGGAGGTGACTCCAAATGCCCCGGGAACTTCGGGAGTGGGTAAAAGAAGTTTCCGGGGATGGGGCGTGGAATGCTAGGGAAGCTCCAGGCCTGTGTAGAGGGGTGGGGGCCGCTGTAGTGGGGGGTGGCAGCTTAGTTCCTGGCACTGCTGTTTTCTTCCCATTCTCACCCCCACTCCCAGGTAAAGGAGCACGAGGCTTTGGGCGGGGAGCCTTGCTCCGCCTGAACATCTGGCCCACTGCCCAAGGGGGCTGCAAACACCTGGGACACTGTGAACGCTGTGTCGACAGAGCCCACAACCTCTCCATCTGCATGTGGCAACAGTGTGGGCCAGAGGAGCCAGGTTAGTAGCTGGGCCCTCCCCGAGGCCTGTCTATGCCACCCCCCAGCTTTCTCTTCAGACACTTCCCTGCCCCTTCTCCCACCAGGACACTGCGTGGCCCAAGCCGAGGTGCTCAAGGAGGGTTGCTCTCTCTACAACCGTTCAGAGTCCTGCCCAGGTAAGGGAGATAACGCTAAGCTGGCACGAAGGGAGGAGAGTGAGGTGTCCCCAGCCACAGCCTGCTTCCAGGAGGTACTAACTTCTCTCAGGGAGTGGACTGCACCGGTGAATAGCTGGGTCCTTGTCCGCAAACAGTTGTACCTTGCCTTGGCTGGTATTCTAGCCTATAAATTGGTCTAGGTGTGTCCAAGGGCTGGGGTCTTCCTGAAGCAAGTGTCATCAGACAAAGATGGAACACGGGGGCGGGATGGGGTGGGGGGAGGGGCACACAACTGTGTGACTAGGTTTGAATGAGGCAGGAATGTGTTCCGAGTGGGAGGTGGGTCCAGCTCCTGACCCAGGCTAGCGTGCCTGATAGGAGAGAAGCCTGTTTCACCATGGATCCCTGTCTCCTCAGCTTCCCACCACCATCCCACCCATGAACCGGAGACAAGCACAACAGGTAGGCCCTTCCCCGGGAATGGGGGTAGGACATTGGTAGAAGGGACAGGCGGTGTGGGCACAGGCACTGACATGCTCCGTGACCTCAGTCCTGAGTTCTCTACATCTGTGAGATGGGTTGGACGTATCCTGCCTCAGTGCAGCGAGGATTTATGGGGCTGTGTAAGGCCCACTTCACTGTCTAATGCATCAGCACCCAAAGCAGTCAGGAAATGGCAGCTTCGTCACCGGGTCTGGGAACTCCAGGTCCCTGCTTGGAGATGCGGAGATGCTGAGAGATGCCCTCCCGACCACCTGCTACAAGCTGAGGGCCCCAAAGTGGGTTCCCAGCAAAGTAGGGGAGGAACCCCATCTGCCTCTAGGTCCCCACTCCCCCGCTGAGGCCTAGAGGTCGCACACTTAGCCAGGATGGGCTGAAGAGGCTCGTGGTTAATTAAAGCTGGAAACTGATCTTAAAGAGTAAATTATTGATGGCTCGGCTCCCTCGGCTTGAGCCCCAGATCTGCGTTGCCCAGCTCACTTCTTCCCTTTCTATCGTCTTCCCCAGCATCCTCTGTAGCCCCCAGCTTCAGCCTCAGCAGAGCTGTCCTTCCCATTTTGTGTCCTTAGACTCTGCACTGTTCATGTCCTCTGGGAAGAAGACCCAGCTCCCAGTTGGGCCCCTTGTCCATTGTCCCAGAATGATCTTCCACTTAGCAGTGTTTTCCTGCCCTGGGCACCTGGCCCAGGGCCTGAAATCAAATCTCTGGTCGGAATTGACAGGTAATATGGTCCAGCTGTTAGCCACCAAAGCCTGGACGTAACTCAGTGCGAAGGCCTTCCCTGTCCCTGCGAAGGGTGAAGGGCAGAGGAAGGGGTCAGGGGAGCCTGGGAGGGGACAGGCCAGGTGTGGCCCATTGTGTAGTCTTCACTTGCCCCCTCTGTAGGGTGCTGGTTCTGGGCCCCCACTTCTCCTCTGTTCCTTCTTCTCTGGGTGGGGACTCCAGGCTAGAAGTCCTGAAGAACTGTGTGCCAATTTATCTGCTCCAAGCCCGGTGCCCTTAGCTGAAAGGAGTCTGGTGGCAGAGTTCCAGGTCCATCCTTCCTCTACTGGGCTAGGGAAAGACAGGAAGGATGCAGGAGCACTTGGTCACTGTTAGTTCCATGTGACCAGGAGGCCCAGAGAGGGTGTGGGTCAAATAAAGCTGTGGAGCAACTCAGGAACAAGGTTGGATGAGGTCCACCCTCCCCAGCCTCAACTATCCCTTCCACCAGCTTGCGGGATACAAAAAGCCTGAGATGATGGACTCGTGTGTGTGTGTGTGTGTGTGTGTGTGTGTGTGTGTGTGTGTGTGTGTGTGTGTGTGTTCAACCCAAGGTTAGACAAGCTAAGCAAGGGTTCCACCACTAAGCTGCACTCCAAGCCCTCAACTGGACTTCAGAGCCTGGTAGTGTGGACCCGGACCCCTTCTTGGGGACTGAAGGAAGCCCCAGGGTGTCAGCTGTGGGATCTGGATCCACAGAGGCCTGTTATAACCTCTACCCTGCCTTATCCTCCAGGGAATCCCCCAGCCCCTGAAGCCCACAGCCCAGGTTTTGATGGAGCCAGCTTCATCGGGGGCATTGTGCTGGTGCTGAGCCTGCAAGCATCCGCCTTCTTTGTGATGCGCTTCCTCAAGGCCAAGGACAGCACTTACCAGACACTGTGAGTACATGGCCAGCAGCAGGGTCCAGCTGCCTTCCCTACTCCCTCCTGCCTGGCAACCTGGCAACATTTCTCTATGGGATGGTCCTAAAGATGATGCCTTCCCTCCAAGCATCCCCCATGGGATGCTATACCCCTTTTTTCTCTAGCTGAGGTTATCCCTTGCCAGATGCTGGGTGGGACCTGGACTCAGTCTTCAGAGTTCAGCGTCTGAGGGTCCAGCTGAGCCTTTGTATCTTTGTCCCCTCATGCTGCCAGCAGGGAAGAGAGCCAGTAGGTGACACCCCCAGGCCAGTCCTCAGTCCACTGCAGCCATGAGCAGCAGCCAGGGCTGTGTGTACAGTGTGGTTTTCTCTAAGGAAGGGGCTGGGCGGGTTCCTGTGTGCCTGCTGTGTGTGTGTGCTGTGGGGCCAGTTGTGCACCCTGCATTAAAGTGTCCATTCTTCCAGCTGTGGCTGCTCTCTGGGAAGTGGGGTGGGGGACCCTCACCCCTGAGTGTTCTCTCTGTCTGGCCTCCACAGAATCTGACCCCAGTGGTCCTGGCTCCACCTTGAAAGGACAGAGGACTCAGAGGCCACCCCTTGATTGCCTTATGGGCACTGGGGGGTGGGACACACTTTGGCCACCAGTTTCTGGTCCCAGTAGGCACAGGGCACCGAGCTGATGGCTGACATTCTTTCCTGTCCTGGGCCTGGCACCTGTAACTGAACCATCCTTGAACCCTCCCGTGGCTCATGCAGTCAGCTGGGTCCCCAGCCTGATACTTGATGTCTGCTGTTTCTTCTTACCAACCCAGTGTGGGGGCCACTCCCAAATAAAGACCTGTTTCCACCCAGGCTGTACGTGAATTGGATGGGATGAGAGAGGGACCTCTGTTTAGTACCAATGTCTCCCTTTAAGATGTTTTCAAGCTGTGGGAGGGCAGTAAGATGGCCCATGGGTAAAGGGGCTTATTATGTGATCCTGACAACCTGAGGTCAGTCCCTGGAACCCACCTGATTGAAGGAGAAAACTGTCTCCTGCAGGTTGTCCTCTGATCTCCACAAGCACTGTGGCACATGCCTGCCCCCCCAGTGGATATTTAAAATATTTGAATTTTTAAAAAATATTTTAGGGATTGGGAAGATGGCTCTGCAGTTAAGATCATGCATTGCTCTTTTTTGTTTTGTTTCATTTTGGTTTGGGTTTTTTGAGACAGTTTCTCTATGTATCCCTGACTGTCCTGGAACTCGCAGAGATCCACCTGCCTCTACCTCTGCCTCTGTCTCAGCCTTTACCTCCTGAGTGCTGGGATTAAAGGCCTGTGCTACCACTGCCCATGCACTGCTCTTGAAGAGGGCCCTAGTTGAATGTCCAGCATTCATGTTGAACAGCTCACAGCCATATGTAACTCCTGATCCAGAGTGATCACACACTCCTGGTCTCTGTGGGCACCTGCATTCATCTGTATCTACCCAGGCACACATATGCACATCAGTAAAAATAAAGACAAACTTTTTAAAAAGACACTTCCAAGCCAGGAACTGGGAGTCAGGTGTGGTGGTGTGTATCTGACACTCAGGATCAGGAGTTCAAGGCCAGCTACAGCTACATAGTAAGTTCTAGGATAGCTTTGGCTATATAAGGCCTCAGACATTTTTTATTCTCAAGCCAGGCATTATGACACATACCTGTCAACTCAGCATTTGGTAGGTTAGAATTAGGACCAGGGGTTCATGGTCATCATCAATTGCAGTGAGGATGTAAGCAACTGAGTACAAGGCCAGTCTCAATCACATAACATCCCATCTCAAAAAATCAAAATCATCACAACAAGGAATTGCATCTGGGATGTCTTTTCTCAGGTTAATTTTATCTTTATATGTGTATGTTTATGGTGTGTATGTGTGTGTGTGGTGTGTATGTAATGTGTGTGTGGTATATGTATATGTTGTGATGGATGTGTGTATGTTTTGTGTGTGTGTAGCATATGTGGTGTGTATGTAGTGCATCTGTGTGGGGGGGTGTGTGTAGCATATGTGTGTGTGTAGTCTATCAGTGTGCAGTACATGTGAGCAGGAACATGCATGCTTGTGTGAGTGTGCAGAGGCCAGGGAAGGAGGTTGGGTGCCTCTCTTTGTTGACCCTCTCAGTGCTGTGAGGTGGGGTGTCTCGCTGAACTGGAAGTTGACATTTTGACTAGCTGCTCAGTCTGACATCTGGAACATGCCTGTCTGTCTATATGCCCCTGCCCTAGGGCTAGGGTAACCCAGCCACTCCTGCTTTCTTATATGGGTGCTGGGGGTTCAAATTCAGGAGCTCATGTTTACACAGCAGTGGCTCTTACCACTGAGTACCTCCCCAGCCCTCTGTGCTACCTCTGACCCTCTTCTAGAAAGAGTATGGACACCAGCCAGGTAAGTATGCTCACTCACAATTGCACCCCTGAATGTCGGTATTGCTGGATGGTACCATTGGAGAGGCTGGGCTGGGGTTGGAGTCTCAGATTTCTGACTCTAAGGTGAACAGAACACCAGGATTCCTTTCTGGAAGCTTCTGCTGCTCTCTCAGTCCCTAAAATTAAGCACCTGCCCCAAAGCCAGGGATGGGGGTGGCGACAGGCGGGACTCTTGGGACTCTTGGGACCATCTGGCAGGCAGAAGACGGACAATCCTGGCACTGTTCTTGCTACCAGGCCTGTATTTTGGATCTTAGAACATTCTGTCCCAGCTGTGCTAGGAGCTTGCAAGCTCAGCTAGTGCTGTCACGGCTCAGGGCCTCAGTTCATTATCTGTAAAGTGGGATGGCATCTTGGTTGGATGTGGAAAGGCTCCGAGCAGGCGGATGTGACCCGTTCCTCTCCAGAGCACCCAACACCCTTCAGGAACGTGGCCTGCAGTCTTTGCCTTGCGCCCCCTCCATGCTCCCACGAGGGTCTCTGGCTGCAGCTGAAGAGCCTCCAAGGAACCTGGGATCCACAGGTGGTTCCAGCTACCACTGGGACTCACCTGCTCACATGTGGATCACCAGCCACATGTGGGTCTGCTCCTCAGTGCTCACCTTCCTACGCGTCCATGTAAGGCTCACATCTGTCCACTCAGGCACCAGCCTCCCTGCCAGTCCTCTAGCTCCCAGAAGCTCCTGCTTCCAGTCCCCTGCTTCTTCCTTCTCTAAGCCTTTGATTCTGCTGCTCCTCCTAACAATTGCCCTTCCCGCAGCTTGCTCTGTATGATTGCTTTCCTGTGTCTGGCTCCTGTATCAAATTCTGTCTTTTTCTTTAAAAGAAGTGAATGAGTTCCAGAATAGGGCAGTGGTGGTACATGCCTTTAATCCCAACACGAAGAAGGCTGTGAGTTCAAGGTCAGCCTGGTCTACAGTGCAAGTTCCAAGACAGCCAGAGCTGTTATACAGAGAAACCCTGTCTTAAAAAACCGAAAACCACGAGCTAGAGAGATGGCTCAGCGGTTAAGAGCACTGCCTGTTCTTCCAAAGATCCCGAGTTCAATTCCCAGCAACCACATGGCAGCTCACAACCATCTGTAATGAGATCTGGTACCCTCCTCTGGCCTGTAGACATACAGAACATTGTACACATAATAAATGAATAAATCTTAAAAACAAAAACCAAAAGACCCAAAAACAAACCAAACAAAATAAAACCTTAAAGAAAAACAAATGTTGAAGTCAGGTTCCTTCCTCCATCTTTCCAAGCTGCCATGGTGACACATGCGAATGCCCTGGCTGGTGCTCTAAGGTCACCCACAAAGATGAAGCCCCTTTTGAAGCTGTGCTCTGAAGTCACCATCCGATCTCTAACTGTACTAATGAGCATGGCTACCTTGGCAAATCTGAAGTCACTGATGACCACAGAGCTGGGAACAGTGCTGTCAATCATACGAGTAGGTTAGGCAGGAAGGCGGGGTGAGCCCCAGACCTGATGCAGCTTGTTGAAGACAGAATAGTCCACTTCCATCCATCCATCCATTCCGTCCCATTGTACCAACAACCTCAGCTGTCCCCATGGAGAAGCAAGAAGAGAAACAGTGAAGACAACCCCAAATAATATGCCTTGGTGGGAGGTAGGGCTGGGTGTGGCTGTCTGCAACTGTAATACAGGCTGAAGGTCAGGAGTTCAGCTCCAGCCTGGGCTACACGAGACCTTGTCTCATAAACAGGTAAAAATAATAATAGTGGTAAATAAATAGGGACCAGTAAGATGGCCCAGAAGGTAAAAGCCTGAGTTTAATTCCTACATGGCATGCACACACCCAAATAAAGAAATACATGTAAAAGTAAAGCCAGGTGTGGTGTATACTCATAATCAGAGTTCTCAGGAGGCCGGGGAAGAAGATGCTGGGAGTTTAAAGGCCAGCCCAAGTTACACAGTGACACTGTCTCAAAAACAAGAGTGAACATGGAGGTTTATTCAAGAAAGTTCCCCTAGAACTGGGTGGTGGTGGCACACACATTTAATCCCAGCACTCAGGAGGCAGAGGCAGGTGGATCTCTGTGAGTTCAAAGCCAGCCTGGTCTACAAAGCTAGTTCCAGGACAGGCTCCAAAGCCACAGAGAAACCCTGTCTGAGGGGGGAAAAAAAGAAAGAAAAAAGAATGGGTCCCCTAGGCTCGTGTATTTGAAAGCTTGGTCGCTGTTGGAACCGTTTGGGAAGGACTAGGCGGTGTGGCCTTGGTGGAGGGGGTGTGTCACTGGGAGTGGGTTTTGAAGTTGCAAAATCCCAAGCCACTGTCAGTCAGCTCCTGCTCTGTGTCCTTATGGGCCCTCAGCCCCTGCTGTGACACCATGCCTGTGTGCCCTGGTCACAGTATTTATCACAATGGAAAAGTAAGACAAAGAGTGACAACCACTCCTTCCCTGGGCCCCTCCCTGGACATGACTGCAGTTGCCAGTGCATTTTAGAAGTTCTCTGTGAATTTACAGCTTATGTACACATGTGTAGCTTTTTTATAGCACAAAGTGGGTCCATGCCGCTCTGTAGTCACTGCTTCTGTACCGGCTGGATGCATCATGTGGCTTGTCCAGATGGTCATAGCTTATTTGCCTGGATCCTATCAATGACTGCTGGGGCCGTTTCCATATTGACTCAAAAGTAGCCATGCACAGGCCTGTGTGCAAAGCTTGGCACTGCCGTAGGAAGGCTTGGATAAAAGTCCCTAGAGATGGGATATGAGCATCTCAGGGCATCCCTCTCAGCGATCCATCTATTCCATAGGCTAAGAGCCTCAGCTTTTCCTGACACCTCAGCTGTCCCCACTCCACCCACACTGGCCTGACATCGCACGGGCGTCCAGAGTGACTGACCTCATTCCCTCCCTGCTCCCACATCCCTTCATGCTCTTCTCTAGGCTCCATCCTTACCTCTCACAGCTGGCCCAAGCCTCCTGCCTCTAGGCACCTGACCGCACACTGATTTGCCTATGCTAACAGCTGTTTCCAAGTCTCCAAGGGATTCAAACTGCAATAGGCAGTCACTTCCCTAAGGGTACTTCGTTCTCTGGGTTGGGTGGGGTTTGCTGTACAGGGACTGGCTGAAAGCTCTGTGGCTTTGGGCCTGTGTGGGTGGTACAACAAAATCATGGCTCATCTCTGAGCTTTGTGTTTTGTTTTGTTTTTGAGGCAGGGTTTCTCTATGTAGCCATGGCTAGCCTTGTCCTAGATCTCACTTGGTAAACCAGGCTGGCCTCAAATTCATAGAGGTCTGCCAGCCTCTGCCTCACCAGTGCTAGCATTAAAGTCTTACACCAGCATGCCTGACATGAGCCTCTCTTTTTTTCCTCTCTTGTTCATGTGTATGTACACATGTGTGCGTTTGCAAATGCTGGGATTAAACCCCAGGAT